CGGGTTACACTGTACAAATATTTAAGTAAATGCTCTGATTATAATCAATAGTGTTCACAACATTTACCGTCCTGAATCTCCGAGAAATCTCAAAATATTTGTCCTCGGACAGGAATAGAACCTGTATTCCACATGGAACCGCCATATATCTTCACGTAATATACAATTTAGCTACAGAGGAAGTATCTGGGATATGTTGGGAAGTAGATAATGAAAAGTTTGGTAATCCGTATGGATAATCACAAGAAGTATGTAATCCAGAGGGCTCAATGTCAAACCAGAGCGAATATTAATTTAATTAAAATTAGAAAAAAGGCAACATTTCGTGTTCATTGATTATATTTTATTTTCCCAGGAAGGTTTTTTTCCTGGTTCTTCAGATCACATTTTCAAGCATGAAAAATTGTTTTAAATTTACGAATTATTTTATACGCCTTTGAGGGGTAGTTTTAAGTTAATGTAAAGTGATAGAGAGAGGTAGAGGACGACAGATATGGTCGAAATTAGAAAAGAAAGGAAAAGATATGAATAATTTTAAATCTACAGTTCTTAAATTACTTATGAGTAAGGGATGAGGGTAAGTACCAGACACTGACCTATTTAATAAGTCATCTCACAGGAAACGAGACAAAGAGAAAAAAGAAGAATATATATAAGAAATCAAAAGTAGAACCAGGGGTGGGAGGGAATATGTGGGGAAAGAAGAAAAGGAAGAATATATTAACATATATAGGCATATTGCAATTAAATTAAAAAACCCCACAGAGATTGACATATTTTGCAGTTAATGTTTGAAATTAATTTAAAAATTAGCAACAAACTAGGATGAAAGGAAAAATAATATAGTGTGAATATAAGATAAACAAATCATATGAATATTAATATTTTTGATAACAACAAAGGAGTAAAAAATTAATAATTAAAATATAAAATTTCAAATTTCAAATTTTAAATCTTATATTCATAATTTAAAACTTAAAATTCAAATTTAAAACAACATAAAAAATTTCAAATAATATCGAAAAAATATATAATGTAATGTCGAAAAACATCGAAATGAAAACAAAATTTAAAAAAACATTTAAATAACGTTAAACTATATATATATATATGTGTGTGTGTGTGTTCAGTAGAAGTTTATTGTAAAAGTTTTCTGGAATTATAAGAAATCAACAATATTTTATGCATGATTCCCGCTGTATCTTCAAGAGTTGGGGAAAGGTTAAATCCTTATTCGATGTGTCTTTCCAGTGGGACTGACAAAATAGGTTTTGCATAAGAAATCTGCACCCAACTTTGCTATCGATTACACTGGTAGCAAAAGGCCAAACTCTCCTTGATTTTCTCCCTGACCTGACAAAGTGAATTGCATTTTCACTGTGCAATCAAATAAACACATACACATATACGCTACATAACTTTTGGCCACCTCATCTGACCTTAGCGACAAAATTTTATGAGGAGTACATGCTTTACCACGAAGCAGCAAGTCTGCCGCTGTTTGGCCTATTCCCTCACGATATGTCAGTTGCTTCAACAAACAGTGACCAGTCACGAAAGCAATAAGTTGGTTCTGCCTTCAGTGGTAATAAAAATGAATCTTGTCACGTACGGCGAACCATACAACCTGCCGGCAATTTCGTACTGACAAAGAACACGACTACGACGAGGGGTTATATTGCCATCGCTGATTCATTTTGTTCGACAGAAAAATATCCTCTGTTCATTCGGTGAGATATTGAATTTTGTAACTAACATTTCTGAAACTGAAGATTTTGCTTTGGAATCTTTACTCCGAATAACAACTGGTTTTGGCATCTCTTGATGATCTGTCATTTTTCTGGCTCTTACACACATGGAGAAGTTTAGGTTGAGGCTTGTATTTATTTTGATATCACGTTTCTTTGATAGACAATGGTTTATACATACGTAGTTTATAGGTGAAGTAGAGAGATTACACAATTTAAAGATTAAACACAGTAATTCCGGCATTTAATCCTTTTAAAAATTATATTAGAAAAAGGTTTTGTTTCGATTTTATACAGACTGGACTTTTTACATAAATATATATGAAAAAAGTTATACATACAGCTCGTTGATTTCCAGCGAATTAAAGTTCCATGTGCCTCCGCTGTTTATTTGTCGACGAACGTAAAATCATTTGTCATTTGAAAAGGACTGGAAACTCAATTCTGTATCTCTCTCTGTATCTCTCTCTCTGTCTCTGTCTCTCTCTCTCTCTTTTTATATATATATATATATATATATATATATATATATATATATATGAAGAATAAATAAAGCCTTAAGGTGTGTTATATTTATGGGATAAATATCAGCGATAGAGCGTGTGTAAATATAAAAAGTGAACATTGAAGTTAACACTTAGAGGCGACAGTCTGTTTCATACTAGAAGCAATCGTCAGGCGTGACCATTGCGTCTAGCATGAAACAACTTGTCGCCTCTAATTGTTGACTTCAAGTTTCAATTTTTATATATATATATATATATATATATATATATATATATATATATATATATATATATATGAACCAAAATTTGATTCCACGGAACATGTATATATACGCACGCACACACAAACATATATATAGTGGTGTGGAAAAGCAAGTGAACCTCTATGATCATATTTAATATAACTGCATCTTTTTTCCAGATAATCAACAAATCTTAATTAAACTATATATTCAGTAAGAGAAAACTTTATAAAATGAATTACAACTATTTTCAAAGATTTTTGTTCAACTAGAAGAAGAAAATAATTAATAATCTAAAATTAAGATGTACAAATGTAACTAAACACTTACATTTACACTATAGAATTTTGTTTTAGCTGATTTCCATTGAAAATATTTTTTATGCATGTGTAAAAATCATAATGATTCGTGGTCATATTTTTGGTAAGCTGTGTATACTGCAGACAAACAATATAACATATTTTTTATGCAAAAGTGTACAGTTAAAGACTAATTTAAAAGAATATATATGCAAAGATCAAAAGAACTTCCTGAAGCTTTAAAAATGGCATAGTTGAAACCTATAATGATGGAGAAGAACACAAAAAGTTATCAAAAGGATTTGGAATACACTGCTCCAATGTCTAACAATTTATTTATAAATGGAAAGTCTTTGGTGTGGTGACCTCAGAATCAATAACTGGCAGGCTGTGAAAAAAAATTGCAAGAGCAATTAGACATCTAGTTCGACAACCCCATGCAAATATTGCTGTAACTTTTGCGGTTCTCTAATGCTCACTGGCCAATCAATCTGCAAGAATCAATGTGCATACATCTACAATGCGACGAAATCTGAACAATGACGATTTTCATGTCAGAATGCCTAGAAAAAGCCGCTGCTTACGAAATCGCACAATCGCAACTAGGCCAAAGCTCATATTAATAAGCTAGAAACATTCTGGAAATAGGTACTGTGGTCGGGTGAGACCTAACTAGAGCTTACTGGGAGGAAAATAAATAGTTTATTTGATGAGCTGCTAATACGAAGAATTTGCTTCCAACCGTTAAACATGGTAGCGACATCATTATTATTTGGGGGCGCTTTGCTGAAACTGGAAGAGGCAAAATAGTAAACATTGACGGTGCAATGGACTCTACAAGATACCATGAAATTTTGAACGAATATGTCCTGTCCTCAGTTCAAAAGTTGCTTTTCGTTCAGAGCTGGAACTTCCAACAACGTAATAATCTGAAGCATCAATGCAAATCCGCAAAAGAATGGGTTCCTAAAAAGAAATTTCAAGTATTGGAATGGTCTAGTAGAAGTACTAATGTAAACCTAATTAAATCAGGGATTAAAGTGAAAGAAGGTTGTACATGCAAGAAACCAACGTAAAATAGAGCAATTGTAGGAGTTTTTACAAAAAGAATGGTCAAAAATCAACACTCAGTACTGCGAGAATCTTCTTAAAAATTGTAGAAAAAGACTGGTTGACATTGTAACCTCAAAAGAAGCAGTCACCAAATATTAAATGTAAGAGTTCACTTAATTTTGCACATCTTGAAGTTGTAGACTGCAGTATACACAGCTTACCAAAAATGAAGATGTGTAATTTTGAGTTTTACATGTGCACAAAAATTTATTTGCACTGGCAACAATCTAAAACAAAAATACAGATTGTTAATGCAAGCATTTACTTTTGCACATCTTCTTAATTGTTAATTAATATCTTTACTTCATCTCTTTGAAAGTGGTTGTAATTGATTTAATAAAGGTTATTCTTAATGAATATATATAAATATATGGTTAAATTAAGATTTTTTTTATCATCTGGAACAAAGAGAATGTTTAAATTTTGTCTTAGGGGTTCATTTACTTTTGAATAACAATATATGTTTGTGTGCATATGAATGTTACCTGGTCTGATGCAGAAAATAAATTTAAATTAACGTTATTATTTTTATTTTTTAACATTTCATTCAGTATGCTATTCATATAATCTTTTCCATGTGTTCTAATACATATTTCATTCTTTCTTTCAGGTAAGTATCTGAAAAATTTTCCATTCCCGTTTCTGTAAAATACTGGAGTATACGATGAATGCATAAGTGAACAGAAATGGATCTATGCCAAGGTAATGTCGGATTTATTTTTCATTTTACTCTATTTCACCTAACGTTAAATATAAATTCTAAGGAGATATTTCACAAACTGTGAAGTATTTATAAATCTATGATCTGTAAGGGAAAATCAACTGATAATCTCGCACTATAGATCAGAATATTAATTAAGAAAAGTGTTTATGCATATACCGGAACAATGACAACGGTCAGCTAGGTAAGTTCTAAGAAGATGCCACGTAGTATAACAATTTTTTTATTATATTTTTATATGCACTATCTCGTCACGACTTGTGTAATGATCGCTGTCTACAAATGAAAGCATTTTTCTCCTATGAATATTTCTCATCTGTCATCAATTTATGTTAATTAGGCTATTTTCTGTTTCTCTCTTTGTCATGGGCTTACGACCATATCACGTTGAAGCACATGTTATCGTACGATCTCCGAAGTTAAGCAGCTTTTAGCCTGTCCAGTACCTAGATGAGTTATCGCTTAGGAAAACCAACTGCTTTAAGTTTGGATGTGAGCTGATGTAATGGATACCTGTTCGGAATTGGTAATCAATGTTCAGGATTACAAATTCAGTCGGGTTTGTTGCATTCATTTGCCTGCTAATTTCTGACAATTTCCTGGGTACAGTACGAATCCCTCTTTTATCTCCTCATCAGCAGGTTAAATAGTAGGATTTGTATCAGGAAATCGTTAATACATCAATAAAATTCATCCAATCTATAAATATTTTCTGACTTTAAATAAGCAGCAATGGATGATAGACCATAAAAAAACAAATCAATCAACTCAAATCAATCGTCTGCGTATTTTGATTTCAAGATGAACTTCTAAAATGAAACGTTACAAAATAATAATAATAATAATAATAATAATAATAATAATAATAATAATGATAACAATAATAATAATAGAAATTTATTTTCTGCAGTAGACAATATAACATTTGCACACACCCACGCACAAACAGTACTGTTCAAAAGTAAATGAACCCCTATAATAATATTTAAAAAAAAAATGTCTCTCTTTTCAAGATGATCAACAAATTTTAATTAAACTGTATATTCATTAAGAAACACCTTTATTCGACAATCCGTCTGTTCATATTACGTGTCCAAAAATGCTCTTTCTGATACAAGTGATTTTTGTTTTTATTTTATTTCCTTTTTTTCTTGAAAGCTATTGAATTGTCCCGTGTATAGCATTCTCACCATCCTCATGTAGAACTATATTTCTACTGCCTCAAGTCTGTTCTTGCTCTATGAGAAAATTGTTCAATATTCACGCCCATGATTGAAGATTAATAAAAGATAGCTGTTCAGCATTTCTAAGTTTCTAATGAAATTTTTCTGCTTCTTGATAAATTGTTTAGCTGTTTCAGGTCATATTTTATTATTTCGATGTGTTTTCTTATTTATGCCGCACACTTTACCTTCGACAATTCGCAGGTAGTTAATCACTTGTACTTATTTGATTTTGATGTCACCAGTTCACAGATCGAATTGTTGGCTCTTCTACATTTATATTTTCGTGGGAAGGATAAATTTATTTTTAATTTTTCAGTTTTTATCATTTATACATTATAAGGTCTCCAGATGTTATTCTCTCTCTCTCTCTCTCTCTCTCTCTCTCTCTCTTTCTCCTACTCTATCTGTCTGCCTGTCATTGTCTTTCTTTTTCTATACCACTTTTCTTAGGTACGTAACCAATCACAGCTCTCTACATCTTCCCGAGTTTATTACTCTCAACAACACTTTGTCCTTTACGATGAATATTTTTTTCTTCCTTCATCCATTTACACATAATTTTCAAGTAGCTTACTCGGTGCCTTACTATGCTTATCTTTCCTTCGATATGACCAATGAAAGCTAATTTCTCTTTGCCTTTTTCCACATTACGCGTTCCCAAAATTTCGTTTTCTGTTTCTGGGGGTTAGAAACAATCATGCTATTTCAAAATTAACACGGCTTTTCCTAGAGAAATTTTTTTAAGGTGTATTTACAGTAATATGTTACTTGAAAATATTTTGTACAGGAGTATAGGTTTATCCTTTTATTCCTGTTTCGGGTTGTGTTCCCGGTTCCTTCTCATAAATTATTCTCATTTTATTTCAACCAACCCAGTTACCCTATATGATTTAGTAACATAATCTCCTTTCTTGAGGTGTAATGATTAAAACAAAATTAAATCGAATGTTTTTTCATGATGCAGCAATAGTTCTTCAAGTCTTGTCAGTTGTTATAAAGTGGTTATTTAAAGAACTTTAGCAAAATATTAATAGGCTTCTTGTACAATCTCATAAGCCCTCACTGTGACAGAAATCGATTTCTAATCGAACGGCAATATATTTTGTGTTGAAAGAAGTTGTGAGGGTGAAAACAGGACTAAAAATTAGCCTTGTTTTTCAACTATGCCCTTCTTAGTAAAGTACTTATGTCTTGTTTGCGTCCAGTGTTTACACGTCACAAGTAGTGGCTACGCTTATGCCTAATTCCTTCGAAGGAAAAGTAAGAAAATACAAGATTTATCCAAGAAAATTTTAAGTGGAGAGAAAGCAAAATCTCTATTATTATTATTATGGTTCCAAGAAATTTTACAATCAGAAACCAAAACAAAAAAAAATCAATATATCGTTCTTATTGTTTCTGTTTTAATTCCAACATTTCGATCCGTCCACACTCCCGTTTACGTCAGGTAATAAATGTAAAACTATTCTAAATTCTGAGCAATTTTATTCTTGTAGAATCTGTTACAAAGGGATTCAATGTACAACGAATTAAACCGGGAGACTACATCTCTCGAAAAAGCTATGATAAAGCAATAAATAGGAAAAAGTTCGTTAAAAAATTTCATTAGAGAACAAGAATATTTTGTACGAACACGGAACTTTAATAAAAATGACTGAAGAAAATTGTATTTTATTTTCTATGTCGTCAGAAACAAAGAAAAGGATACTGAGCTGTTATCTAATATCAGTCCTCCTATATGGCAGTGATTGCTGGACAAACTCCTCATAGATAAAGAAGATTCTTGATCAACAGAAAAGTGACTCTACAGAAGGATGCTGAGAATACCATAAACCGAAAACCCGAGCCACGACGAAATTTTCTAGTAAATGAAAACAAAAAGGACACTAAAACTAAAGCTGAGAAAGTGACAGTTGCAAATTTTAGGGCACATGGTGAAGAAAGAGGGCTTGGAAAATTTGGTACTTACAGGATAGATTGTAGGCAGGAGAGACAGAGGAAAACAACTCATGACCCAATTAGCGATCTTGAACAAATGGACAGCGGAACAATTTTTAGGAGTGATAACCAAATATGTATATATAAAGAGCTGCAAATGACAAGAAATTGTAGAGAGCCATGATCGCCTGAGTTCTGGAAGTATACGGTAATAAGAAGAAAACGGAGAATTTCGAAATAGGAAATAGCAGAAGATAATACAATCAATTGGTCCAAAATAAACTGAATAATTATTACACCCTTCTTCTCGCCTGAAAGCATCATACATTTCATTGTGAAATAAAGTAAAAGTTGGAGTTAGCTTTGTACCAAATATTTTCCAATGCTTCTTTTACTTGAAGTTGAATATTTGTCATTTTCAAATATTTTGAAATTGATACTAGCTGAAGCATCCCCCAGGCAGTACCTCAACTTCAGAAGTGGACAGGGTGGAATTGAATTAACGGGGTGGGGCGGGGGGTGCTTAATCGATTTTTCCAAGTTATTGCCGGTAAATGTACTCTAAACCTCGACTTTGTCAGATACGATAGCGACGTTGGCGCACTTAAAAAATCTGCTTTATCTCTCTCTCTCACACACACTCTCTCTCTCTATGTATATATATATATATATATATATATATATATATATATATATATATATATATATATATATATATATATATATAGTCATCCATGGACAGACATATCATGACTCATCAGTGTGGCTAGACATCTGATTGCCTCAAGCCAGGGTCGAAACCCGACTGATTTGGCATCCGTCGGAGATTTTTCCTTTAAGCTATCAGCTCTCGACATAGAAGCATGTCAATTTTTACGTATTTATTTTTAAATATATATATATATATATATATATATATATATATATATATATATATATATATATATATATATATATATATATATATATATATATATATATATATATATAAATAAATACGTAAATATATATATATATATATATATATTTAAAATAAATACGTAAAAATAAATATATTAACTATATATATATTAAATATATATATGTTAAATATATATATATATATTTTATATATATATATATGTCTGCTTCGGTATTTCCACGTACTGTTATGGTTTGTACCACATAAAAGCTACTCTTAATAAATTGCTATGTTGTTCTGATTTATATTTGTATCTATTGTTAAAGTGGCCAGTATTATTTGGAATTGTTCTTTCATATCTTTGCAATCATCTGTCGGTATTATATATGACCTTTCAGTGACCATTAGTCGAGTTTGTACTTGACTCTATAGGTAAATATTGTTCTCTTTTGCTCTCTCTGGCCGTTGTATTTTTTCCGAGATATCATAATATCTAAACGTGTATATCCTATTTGTCTGATACGCGGTTATATGTAACAATTTTGGCTTTTGTTTCCTGTTTACTGACGTCTATCGAAGTAACACCGTAGCCTTGTCCTAGCAACAGATGCTGTGTTGCTTTGCTCTTATCAGTTATTGCGAAACATATAATGAATACGCCAGAAGAATAAGCAGTGTAGTGATAAAAAATAATTGGAAGAGCAATTACTTAACGCTAAGAATCGTGGTTTTTGTTTTAATTGCCTCACTGAAGGCAACCAAGGCTAAAGACATATTTCCAATTATTTGCACATGTTGTATTGTGGCAGGAAGTTTGAGATGCCTTCATCTATAAAATCACAGCGTGATGAAAAATTAGGGACTCCATTATAGCTGATCATAAAGGAAGATGATGTCTTGATTTTCTTCTGTCATTAATGTCACGTAAATAAATAAAAGTCGAAGATTAAACTTCTACTTTAGAATGAATCTCTCTCTATATCTTCTTACCTGTTGTTATGGTGAAACACACCTATTCTATAGTTAATAGACTCTCCCACCTAATATAAGTAGGAGTAGTAAGAGAAACGAGGGATGGTCGATGTCGGACGACAGTCGAACTCTATGCCTTCGGGCAGAGAGGAAACCGAAGGAGGCTATGCTTCAAGTATGTCTTCAAGTTCAGATAAAATTTATTGTTGGTCATTTTACTATAACATATATTCTTTGTAATTCTTGGTAATTCTACTATAAAAAAAAATGGTTATTATCTCTTAATATAAAATGTATTGCTGGTTATTTCGCTTTAAAATTGTATTGTTGGTACTTTTACTGTAAATATATATTTTTGCTAATTTTTTTTATATATAAAAAATACTGCTTGTAGTTTTACTGCAAAAATTTAATTTTATATATTCATAGTGTTTATTTTA